ATGGAGAGACTTCTCGTTGACAGCATAGAGTTGTGAGTCATCCGCGAAGAAGCTGCCAGTGTGGACGCGGTCTCCAGTGCGGATGCCGTACTTGGGGTGTTGGCGCAAAAGCTGACACATGGGCTCCAAAGCAATGACAAAAAGCAATGGAGACAATGGGTCGCCTTGAAGGACTCCGCGATGGATGCGAACCGACTTGGACAAATGGCCATTGACCAGGATTCGCGTCCGTCGTCCAGAATAGAGTACCCGTATGATGTCCACAAACGCTTTGGGGAATCCATAGTGCTCGAGAACGCGAAGCAAGTAGGAGTGGTCCACGCGATCGAACGCCTTCTCAAAGTCCAGGAGGGCTACCATGGACGATGGGGAGTGTTGCTTCACGTAGTGCAGCATGTCGTCGAGGCGCTGGATGTTCGTCTGGATGTTGCTTTGGCGGATGAAGCCTTGCTGATCGTGGTGGATGATGTTGCGAACATGCCGTTGGAGTCGGTGGGCCAAAATGCTTGTGAGAATCTTCACGTCCACGTTGAGCAAGCTGATTGGACGGTAGTTCTTCGCTTGAGACTTGGGGCCCTTCTTGTGCAGCAATATCAGTGTGCTGACAAGTTGCATGGATGTCAGATGCGGACTGGCGTGGAGCTGCTTCGTAAAGACCAATTCCAAGACCAGAGACCACTTGTGCGGGGCCAGTTTGAGGACTTCAAATGGCAGCGCGTTGGGGCCAGGGGCGGAATTGGAGCTGCTGTGGCGGATGGCATGGTAAAATTCATTCGCCAACAGCGGAGCGGCCAGTTCTTGTTGAGCTTGGACCGACAGTTGGGTGTCTCGCGTCAATGGCCCCAGAAACGCAGACAAGTCGTCGTCGGATGCACGCAGCTCCGGTGCGGCAAACAAGTCCGAGTAGTAATCCACCAGTGTGTTGGAGACACCAGTTTGGTCGGATACCAGGTTTCCGTTGGCGTCTTCCAGTTCTTTGAAGACCGTCTTCCGCAGTGGAGTTGGAATTGGTGACGAGAAGTGAAAGCGCGAAGACCTTTCCGCCTTGTACAAGTGTAGCTGGAACGCTTGTTCTTGGAGGAACTTCTTTTGCTGATCGTGCAGGTGACGGATTTGCTGCTGGAGGTCCCGAACGCGATCCACCAAAACCGGGTCTTGCCGCATGTTGGGAACTTGGAGCAAGGCTGCGATTTCAAGTGCTAAGTCGCAGCAGCCACGGCGGGGCCTTCCAGGAACCGGAGCCATGTCGCGTTGTCTGTCGTTGGGCAATGATTCGACAAGCCACGTGATCGGCGTGAGGGATATGCGGCAAGTGCGCGGCTTTCCAATGCGCCAACCTTGCCAAACTCGAAGAGCAGAAGATGTAGTCCAGGCGGTTGATGAGCTTGGGACTGGTAAAAGTCTTCCGCAGTGGATTTTGCTGGCGAAACAGGTCCACGATGGACAAGTCTCGCATCCAGGTCAACAAGGCGTCTGTTCCGGCCATGGTGGCGGCGCTGGGGTTGAGCGAGTCCAAATCCTTGTTGAGCGTGCAGTTGAAGTCGCCTCCCACAATGTGGAGGAAATGTGGGGGGAAGTCGCGTGGCAGTTCGTCGAAGAAGCGCGCTCGCTCGGACCATGAAATTGGCGCGTACACGTTGTGGAGAACAATCGTGGCAGGGCCAAGAACACAACGCACTTGCAGATATCGTCCGCGAAGAATCGGATTGTCGTGTGCAACTTCGACGGCGTTCTTCAGGGGTGAGTGGGGGTGGAGGAGAGTTGCCAAGCCGCCCGTGGCGGGTGGGTGGGTGATGTGGGCTCCAAAGGGTAGAGTGGGGGCTCAAAGAACACAACCCCGTCGTGGTTCGTGAGACGTTGCCAATGGTAGGACACTTTGTCTTGCAAACTCGGCGCGCGGAAACGCGTTTCTTGGACGAAGGTGACGTCGTGTGTGCTTGAGAGTTTCTGGAGGATGTACCGGTGGCTGTTGGAGAAGCCGTTGGTGTTGAGGGAGATGATTTGTGGGTCCCAATCCACGAGTTCAGATGGGAGAGCAGGAAAGTGGTCGTGACTCATAAGTACACAGTGCAGTAAATAACGTGGTGGTGGTCTTGATGGATGGTTGCGTGAGAAGCAAGGGGTGCTTATGCTTCCACGTGGGCTTTGTCCCATGCGGGAGATAGAATGCAGTGCGTCAAGTCGTCGCAGATGGGGTCGATGTCAGGGGAGTTGTTGAGGACTGAGTCCGCCAGGAATTCGATGGCATCCAGCACATATGTCGGCAAATTCATGGCTCGGAGTGCTGGAGCAAGTCGACTGACCACCTTCAGCAGGGACCAATCCGTTAGGACGTCCTCCCACCGAGTAGCTTCTTGGCCACACAGGATCTCAAGAGCGCCAGGGTTGTTGTACAGGTCAGGCACCCGGTTGGACAGAAACAAGTCCACGGCTGCCAACGCTTGCCAAACTGTGTACTCGAGCTGATCGCTCACCATTTCGCGAGCAATCTCGTTGGGGTCTTGGCATCCTTGAGCGTAGAACGGCAACTGTTGTTTGTAGTCCCCGCCCTCGCCAGCTTCGTGTTTCGCGGCCATGCGACGATTGATAGCTCGCGTCGATACCAAGGACTCTAGCAAGCCAAATTCCGCGTCCACCGGGTACATCGAGTGTGCCACCACCTGCGGTTCGGATTGGAGCAATCGTGTGCATTCCACGATGTCCTTTTCGACCACCTTGTCCTTGATGATCTTGGCCGCGCGTTCAAAGTGCGCGTGCTTGGACTTGTTGGGTCTGACCTTTTTCTTCGTCGGGACAAGGGTGCGGGGATGTTCGGTGTCCTCGAGCACAACTCGTGGGATGACAAAGTCTTCGAGGGAGAGTTCGACGTCGTCTTCCTGAAGCAATGCGTAGCGGTTGGAGGTAGCAAAGGACTGCGACTCTCGTGGTGACAATGGCCGCTTCGATGCTGGTTTGAACCGGTCGCCCGTAACCAATTGATATTCCAGCGGTGCAGATGGGACTTGCTCGTCATGTTCCGGAGCAAAAGCGGGCTGGGTTTGGTTTGATGGAAGGTCGTGGATTGTGTTGGTCTCCGTTCCGGCTGGTGGGGCTTCCGCGTCGTTAACCTCCGAAGACTGCATGGGAGCAGAGTTTCCATTCGCCGTCGGGGATGTGGTGGTCGCCGAGCGCGCGGATCCGTCCATGGCCTCGTCGTGGATGGAGGGTGTCGGGTCGGGTGTCGGGTCGTGATCTTGGCCAATCGACATGTCGCTTCCAGCGTTGCTTTGGATGTCTACATGATCAACTGTCTGAGCCATCATCGACGTAACGCGTGACGGTGGAGCTTCCCGGTGGATTCCCGTGTCCATTCGACTTGGGCGTTGTGCTTCCGCGCCGGATGGTACTGATGAGCGAGTCTCCGGATCGACGTTGCTCGTATTCGCTGTCGACTTGTTGGGGTTTGTCGGTGTGTCGGGGCGAGGCTGGGGTCGTTGACGGGCCTTCACCGACGGAGGAATGTGCTTGTTCAACACGGCGATCTTGTGTTGAAACACAAGTGTGGCGGCCTGTCCTGAGGGGTCGACCACGGTGATTTCCCGCAGGGGAGGACCGTTCTTGGGGACCAATGCCGCAGGCGGCGACGAGGTCTTGAAGATGACCCTCAAGTGCGGGGAGGCCACGTTTTGGTCCGAAGTTGGGTTGAACGCGGCGATTACACACTTGGTCATCAACGCCAAAGCCTTGACCAACGCACGTGCCAAGAACGGATTATTCACCTTGTTGAAGGTGATGTGGTAGTTGTTGGCGTACTGTGAGTACTTGGGGACTTGAAATTCTTTTCCCCCGAGCTTGAAAGTGGTTCCTCCCAACGCAATACAGGTTGCCAAGCTGTAGCACGAGATGACCATCGTGACAGGGTCTCGTTTATGGATGAGAATGTCCTTGAACTTGGACCCCCACAACGACCCCGGGTTTTCCTTGACGAATTGGTTGCACAACGCCTTTTCCTTCCAGTCTCGGTAGCCTTCGCCCAACCTGATGGTCAGCTCGTACACTTGAGACTGGGGCATCAAGAGAATGTCTTCAATGAAAGCGTCCATGTCGTCAGGGTTCTTGTAAAACGCGTCCGCCACGGCTTCGCATCGCGCGATGTCGTCATCGGCAACCGCGTGTCCGCCTGCCTCGCGAAACTTGACGCTCTTCACGGAGTGCTTCGGTTTGCTTGTGTGCTTGCCGGACTTGTCCACCGCAGACGTGGCATGTTTAGACTTCGCATCGTCATTGTGGTCCACGGTTTGGTCTTGCGTGTTGCTGGACGAGTGATTCGAATCTCTCCCATGAGAGGACTGCCCATGGTCAACTCGATCGTGGTGAGACTTGTTCGACGAGTCTCGATCGAAAGCTGACTTCTCAGCTCCAACCACTCCTGATGCTGGATCTGCGTTTTCTTGAGTTGGAGTTGATTCATCCCCCGTTCTGGGAGGCTCATCACAGACGGGTGCACGGTTGGTAGTCGTGTGACCAGCCTCATTGTTGACAAGACTGGTCGGGGCCAGACATGCTGTAGCGGTAGATCCAAAGGGTCTTTCGACTAAGGCCCTCCCCGCGTTCTCATGCGGCACTTGGAGTTGTACCCTGAGATCGGCGAGATTCACCCCTGGGATACTGCCATCTCCGTCTGAGACTCCGCGAGTGACAGTAGGATCCAGGAGGTGTTCACCAATGAAGGAACTCTCAGCCTCATGACGCATTGGTTCGGTCACTTCCGATGTCACTACCGCGTCACGTCGCACGGGGGACGTTTGCACACGACCACCGTCTCGAGGGGCACCCGGCTGAGTGAGGTCTTGGCTAGACATCGGCAGTCGTTCCACAGTGGAGCTTTCCAAAGGGAGTCGACTGCCCTTCCTCACCGCGACGGGAGGGTTAGCTAGACAAGGGTGACCAGCCCGACGAGACACCACGGTCTTAACAGTGGGGGAAGGACTAGCCACCGACGTACCTTGGGAGTGGTGG